AGTCTTCCACCTGCTTTCCATAATGTTCCTGTAGCTGGCATGACAATCCTGAACTCTTAATAAGGATATGTCTCCAAACAGGGAACATAAATGTATTAAGTTGTCTTACCTATATTAAACTGGTTTCTTCAATACAGCAGTGGAAACCTAACAATTTCTAAGGTTGATAGTTGCTTTGAACACGACTATTACATGCTGGTGGAATTGGATCTGCCACTGAAAGTGTTCTGTCCAAGCCTGGCCAGTTTGTTTTACAGGTTCTTGGTAGAAATAGCAGTTTAAAGTAATCAACCAAAAAAAGCAAGGAATTGCAAATCTACAACTGCAACATCCCACTGGTAATGCAGCTCTCAAGTCCATCCTGTTGGCAGAAGCAGGTGGCCAAAGGCTGATAGGTGACATTACTGCAGAGTTGAGAAGGGATTTGAATGGCCTGTGGGATGTGAAGCACCAGGGTAAGACTCTGGACCAAGAATGGAATGAGGATGATTTAGAATATTTTGTATTGCTTTGTAAAAGCTTTGCTTTGCATGACTGTTTTTTCCTACCATACGTGACATTTATTGTGGAGGAGGAGAGAGCTTTTTATCCTGCACTGAGACAGAAAAATGCATGGATATTTATTCTAAGCTATCTAATCTGAACTGCATTTCAAATGTGAATGGGAGTCTGTATGAAGAGAAGGCAAAGGTAGTAGCAGCCTTAGTCTGTGGATGTTAATGTTTAACCTTGATGCTTCTTGAGTGAAGATTAGTGAAAGCAGAAAGGTTGAAGAAAACAAGATAGAGATGCTGAAGATGAAGTCTGCTATAATAAGGGGAGCAGATGAGTTCATGGTCCTTGGTCTTGTGTTGAGGGCAATTTGGTACTTATATTCAAGACTTTGCCTTCCATAACCCAGATGACAAATAGATTTTCTAAAATAAAACAAAATTCATCTTAGCTAAATTACATTCACTGCTGGTAACCTGGCTCCCTTGAAGAAGATTTTTCCTTTCAGACATACCTGGTTTTCAAGCCTCTTGAGTCAATGGAGAACAAAAGGCTGCTGTGACCTATAGGCTGAGTTTCTATCAGAACCAAAGAGGTAGAGCTCAAAGACACTGCACCCAAAGGCAGAGATACTCAAGGAATCCATATAAGTTTGAGGGCTATAAGCAAGAATCTCTGGTAGGAGGCCAGATCTGTATTTATTTTAATTTAAGTAATTTTGTTAGCGACGCCTTTCTTTTCTGTTACCCTCTGCACGACTGTACTTAGTGAATACATTGTTGGGATTGTTTTCCTCTTTTAATATTTAATGGCATCTGTATAATAGAATCCTTTTATAGCATTGAGGATTCAAGATGCTATCTTAATAAATGGCCCCAATTTTACTAATTCATAACATCTCATCAAATGTCATCAAGTTCAAATATTAAACCCTAATGACAGAAATCCTCATTAGGCACTGTGCTGTCTTGGCACAGCCAGTGCAGCTGTCAAGGCCTTTAGCAACAGAGAGAGAGAAAACACTGTCTTCCAAGTGCTGTGTTCTCTGTGATGCTCTCTAAATTGAGGAGAAAAAAATGTATGTCAACACTTAGTACTTAACAGTATATCAGGCTCACTAGATAAGCTACACTTGTGCTACAGAGAAATGCCATCTTGCCTGCTTGTGCTGTTACATGCTTTAATTCATTTTTCAGTATTGAATTGTAGGGTGTTGGGAGCAGCACTGTAATTTCTGATCTGTAGCTGTCGAGTTCTTAGTACAACTGGTCCTCTCTGTGGCTTTTACTTACTACACTATTGGTAAAAAAGCAGTGCAAAAAATTTAAAGCAGAGTGGAGTATTTCTGGAGTGCATGGGTAAGAATTCCAATACTGAAGTTCTAGATTTCCTAGATTTTCATGATCCTCTTTAGTGTTTTCTTTTTTAAATTCTTTTGCAAAAAATATTGCAAAAAAGTGTATAAAATGTTCCCCAAGGCAGAAAGAATCAATCTTCTTTTGGAGAATTCTATGCATTTACAGTTGTATCAGAAATTGATGGAAGGTGTGAGTGCTGAGCATGTCTGCCAAACAGTAACTGTGTTTAAACATTAAAAAACCCCTTCTGCTTCCAAATATTTTAGTAGTCCTTTTAGGAAAAAAACCCTTCAAAAAATACTTCTATGATTATGTGGACATCTGCTTTATTCCTTCTGCTTCTTCTCTGTCTGATTTTATGTAAAATATTTAAAACTAAAAAATAACAGAACCTCATGATTTCCAAATGAAAAGTCTGTTCATTCTCATAATAATGCAGAGGATTGATATCAGGATAGTTTATAATTCAGTGATCTCTTAAAATATTCAACTTTTTTTTTTTTTACAAGAACATTAGTTGTGAAATACTTTTTTTTTAATTTTTGGAAGTACTTTTGAAAGGGCTGTATTTAAAGCATCAACAGAGTATCTCAGATCCATTACAATAATGCAAGGATTGCAATGCTGAAATTTCTGGTTGTGTTGACATTCCAGACTGAATACCATGTTGATGTTTGGGGTTGGTTTGGGGTTCTATTTTTTAATATTAAAAAGATTCAGTGAACTTGAAGCCAAATTCAATCAATTTTTCCAGATTAATTTTTAAAAATAATCCTTGAGGAGTAATATATGTGTTACATGGCTGCTTTTCATTTGTTTTGACAGTCCATAATTATGATAGATCTTCAGTTGCTGAAGAATAATCCTGTGGATGTTTAACTTTCATTTTTTTGTTTCAAACTTACTTCTGGATCAAATATTGAAATTTTATATTAATTAAAATTCCTGGGCTGTAAATGGCAAACTTCTCAGTAGCCAAAAATCGTTAAAGAAAAAGTTTTTGCAGAAGTACAGTACCAATATGAATAGCCATAGAATTCACTTGTTCAGAAGAACACATTTTATAAACATTTGTGTTTTGAGCACTAGTCCATGAAATATGGCAACAAGACCAGCAAATTTTATTACATTATTTTATCTAATTAATTCTTTATTCACATAAAACCCTTCACATTTATTACCTTTTCAAATTATAGAGTACATTTTTCATTACAGATAATCAGACAATATATAAAATTAGGGATCTGTGAAATGATAAACCTTTGCATTTGTAAAGAATAAAGGACTCTAAAATGTGTGGTTCCAAACATTTGTATTTTATTAATTTGACCAAAGATTTATATTCTTCTTCTTCTGTGGCTCTTAACATTTATTGTCAAGCAGATTGTCAGTCTTGATTGCTCACTGCAGCTTGTTGGTGCCTAACCTGTCTGTTGTCTGAAACACACTCCCTAATTTGTGTTGCACTTTTTTACAGTGAAACCAGTGTTTTGTTGTTCCTCTGTGTGGGCTGGGGCAGCTTTTCAGCTACTGGAAGCTGTTATAGCTCTAGCAAAGCTGGAAGACTTTTCACACTGAGTCTCTGTATTTTAAACAGGTATCTGTTTTATATAGCAATTTTAATTATCATCACATATCCTGACCTGCATATTTGCCTTTATAAACAAAGAGCAGATAATGAGAGCCAATTTCCTTTTTTTTTTAATCAGTAAAAACTTTCTTATAAAGCAGTATCTTTTTTTGCTATCTATAACTTATTTAACTTTCCAGCAAGTGTCTTCTTAGTAGCTCATCTGAAATAATAATTCTAAAACCTTCAAGTGATCCTGAACCTCTTAGGTGGGATAAAATTCAGAGCACAGCAGACCTTGTTCGTTGTGCTGGTTCCCAGGAAACTGACACAGGGTTTGGCTGCTGAATTGAGCTGGCTGGTGTGTGCATTTGTCCACTTCCTGGAAGGTGCTCAGATCTGACAAGGGTTTTGTAGTTGTTACCCAAAAGGGAAGAGACAAGTGTTTTGAACCCATGAGGACTTCAGTTTTACTTTGGAACAGGAACAGCAATTCCTTTACAGGCACGAATTGCATACATTATATGAAAAAAACTGTGCCTTTTCTTTTAAATACATGGATATCAAGATAGGAACTTTACATCACCAGGATTTTAATCTTTCTCAAACTTGCTGCTATGCACACCAGTATAAGCCACTGTACAATAAGAATATCACATTTTATACAGCTCATCCTTATGCTGATAAGACTGTTTAATATCATCAGTCAGCCAAACTAATTTTTTTCAATATTGTTTTCAAATTTTACATCAAGGGAAAGGATAATCTTCCATTCATTGTGTGTGATATTTGGCATGATGTAAAACTTTAGAAGGAAAATACCCTAGAGAGCTTTCCATTTCAGGGACTTCATTAATGATGAAGTACTTTTAAGTGACACACAGTACCTTGAAGGATTACAGCCAATGTATAGTTTCCAATAAATATGTCCTAGGGTTTGAACCTAGTATATAATTTATGATTAACCTTGGCAGTTCAAAAGTCATTGACATTGGCTTCCATTTTAGATGAACCAAAATGGTGGATAACAATTGTACAAGCTGTCTTCATTTATTTTTTTTACTCTATTTGTGTTTCATCTAATTTGTTCCAGATGTGAATATTTCCAAGAGAAACTGCCCATCAAATCTTTTATTGTATAGGGTTTCAAACATAGAGAGATTAGAGATGAGCCAGCTTGCCTTCACTTGGCTTTTGGCTTTGAAATGCTGCACTTTGAAATAGAGTACCGCACCTCATGTCTGCATAAACATGGTTTCCAGAAAATTTTATAAAACAGTTTTAGCTGTTTTAAAATGTGCTTATTTTTGACTACACATATAATTCATATTTTGTAAGTTTTCAGTAAAAAAACACTGGTCTCTTGAAAATAAGATGACACACATTATTAGAAGTCGGGCATCCTAATTACCCTAGAAAATTCTTATTTAAGGCTACCATGAAGATTACTTTATTTCAACTTGGTTTGTAAGGAAAATAAAGTCTACACACTGATAACCATACAACAATAAAAAGAGAAAGAAAAAAAACTAACCCAAAAAACCCACAAACAAACAAACACCAAAAACCCACTGCAGGATCTCTCCTTTGTGGGCTTATATACAGCAGCTTGAAAATATTTTATTATAACTCAAATTAAAAAAGAACATTGGGTCATTCTGTTCACATTTTGCCATATAAAAATTGAACACAAACTGTTCAAAAAAACATAGTAAGACTTAAGATAATCTCCACAGACTTAGTCCTTTACACAGTTATTTTCATTAGAATTATGTTCTAACACTGGGAAAGGATTCTTCATCTAAAAAACACTTCATAAAGGATGAAACATTTTGTTTGTATACCATATATAGCCTGGATCGTTGAAAACTTCCTGTCCTTAATTGCTTATGCAAAAATGATTCATGGTACAAATTGGTATTCACAAGTTATTATATGCATTAATTTATGTTTTTCCTTTGTACAGGCATCTAAAGATTAGATTTATAGGTTGTGCTGAAACACATTTTATTTTGTCTTGAAATCAAGATTGCAACATACTTTTTATTCACATTCTGTATAGATTTTAGTATATTGTCACCATGATGACGGTTTGGGCGTTTTGTGGGGGAGGGTTGTATCTTAGAGCATTGGTTTGGTTAAATACAATATGTGGACAAAAGACAAAGTAAGTTTGAAGGAGTTTTGTGGCAAACAGTATTTTTCCCAAGCATTCAAAACAGCACATGAAAATCTGTAGGGCTAAGTTCTTACGTGGGGTCTTTAACCTATTTTAGCTAAAAAATAAATTAAAAAAAAATTAAAAATTGGAGCAAAAAAAAAAAAGCAGTTTTATACTTAGAAATGGTTTTGATATTGTCAAAATAACTTTTCATTAGAAGATGAAAATGTCATTTTCTTCAACATCTATGTTTGGATTAAAGTCTGAAATTTTAATTTTGTCAAGGAGGAAATTTTCTGTGAGGAATAAAAAAACCCCAAACATTTCAACTGACTATAATATATAATATATGCAGGATATATATAGGTACACATGCAGGAATACAGAGCCAGCAGCTCCACGGCTGTAAAACATCTAAGTGTCTCTGAAGTCACAACTTGCCTAACTAACATCAGCTGTGAATCTCACCTAAGGAAGAATTTTTGCTGATCTCATATTCACCTCTCTGTGGAATGCTGGAGCAGGTTTCTGAGCAACATGATTTTGATAGAAAAGGCATAAATATATAATAGTGTAGGGAACTACAGAGCTAACCTTTGAACACACTAGTGGCAAGAAACAGAGGTATGCCTGTAACAGCACTCAACAATGGAGTCTTGAAGGGAAAGTCAAGCTTGTCTGTAAGAAGGCTACTAAAATTCTTTCCAGGTCTTCAGAAAAATTGCAATGTATTTCTTAAGACTACTTAAGACTAAGACCACTTAAAATAATAATGACTCTTTGAGGTCTCAGGGAAGAACCTTCAATATATTGGTTACTGATCAATGTGGCAGGTTTATTTGAGTGAGCAATTCCAGAGATGTGTTTTCTAGGTGGTACTCATTTCACTTCTAAAGCCTTTCACAGTTACAGATATAAAAGATAAAAGATGCCTCTACAGCACAGTAAGAGTAAATGCAGTATTTTCAGGCAAGCACACAAATTTCAGCTGTGCTGATGACTCTGAACTTCCATGTTAGCATGAAAGCTCCCTGTTGATGTTTATTGGTACCCAAATTTATAAAGCTGTACCTTGCTGTATTTTAATATCTAACTGCACATTTCTATATAGCAGCATTTCAGAATTATACTGAACAATGCTATTAAGCAGTACTACACAAGAAATGTAGTGAACTATATTTCAGAACCTAACTTGATTCATTTTCATTTTCTAGTAACGTTGGAGAATACACCATTTTGCCAAGTGCAACTCACACTTCTATATTTTACTTTCTTTGGTATGCTCTGGGCTTTTTACAGTTGTTTTTAAAACTTCCATTGAGGTATATCCTTCAGTAAGGATTGCAGAATTTAAGATGATGAAGAGTGCCATCTGACAGGGAGCAGGTACTCTTGTTTTCCAGTGCTTGCTCCAGGCCATTTCAAATGATGAAATCTTACAATTTGTCTTAAGAGAACTCTCACTATGATATCTATGTTTAAGATATGTGGGGCAGGGAGGAGTTTAGGGAGGGAAAATCTGTGCTTATGAGAATGTAACTTTAGGTGGATGGAGTTGAGCTGAATGTATATAAAATTTGGAGAGTTCCCCCACTAACCTACCAGGAAATATATACATATCAATCCCTGATTTCTTATGCTGATCTTTGTAAAATACAATACTTGCTTCTACTTACAGCTTGGTTCCAGAGAAGAAATTAATTGTGACCTAAAGAAGTCCTTGCTTACAACATTCAGAGGTTCACTTCTTGCACTTCTTTGTGAACTCTCAAATTCAGAGAAATGCCACTGACTTGACTGGGTTTACAGAAGATTTGTGTGCTTCCTCAAAGATCAGAATCAGGCCTCAAGGTTTTTTTTGTCCTACAGACCTATATTCTTCATCTTTCCTGAGTCACAGAACCAGCTCTACTGTCAAAAGTAGCAGTGATTCTCCTTCAGCATATAATTTGGTTATCTGAGTTAAAAGTGAAGATACTTCAGGCAAGAAGCTATCAATGCCTCTGTGAAATATTTAGATATTGGAATATTTGAAAAACTTCTGCTACACATTGCTTAGAATGGTTTACGATATAATTACAGGAATTACAGATCTCAATGTTACACCCATTTTTTTGTTCTGCTTTTTTTGAGGGAAGGCAAACTGAACACCAAACTGGTCTGGTTGAGGACTTCTGAATCCTCTTTGGTTAATTTTGTTCTCTCAAATTTGAAACATCATTCCCTCTCCTTGCAAGGTGCTCAAGGCAGATGGCCATCCTTCCTGTCTGAATGGTGACGGGCTTTCTCCGGGCTGGTGAGAATGTTGCTCCACAGGACCATCCAGTCAAGGAGGACACGCGAAGGGACCTTCCACCGTTCTCTTCTAAGACAAAGCTTAGCAAGTAAGTACAACAGAATGCAAGTTGGGTCAATTTAGGAATTCAGCAGAGAGGCTTCTACTGTACCTAGCAGATCGGAACTTGAGCTCATGGTAGCACTGCACAAAGCTGTGATAAATGAAAGTGATTGGCAGGGCTAATAAAACGATGCCACTAACCACACAAATTCCTCCAAGAATCCTTCCTGGGACAGTGATGGGACACATGTCACCGTAACCAACCGTGGTCATCGAGATGATCACCCACCAACAAGCAGCAGGAATGCTGGCATAATCCTTATTCTTTGTTCCCAAGTCCAGCCCATTTTCAAGAAGCTGTGAAAGTGCACTGAAAATTGCCATAGCAACACAGATAAAGACAAGTAGCATCACCATCTCTCTGTAACAACGCTTCAGAGTCAGACCAAGTGTTTGAAGGCCAATGAAATGACGGGCCAGTTTAATCACCCAAAAGATTCTCATCATTCTTAAGACCCTCAAGGTGACTCCAGCCCTCTGAAGCTGTGAATTTTCCCCTGTGAAAACTGTCATTAGAACAGAGATGTAGTAAGGAGTAATTGCCAGCAAATCAATGATGTTGAGAGGTCTTCTGACAAACTCACACTTGTTTTTGGAGACGATGAACCTCACAATGCATTCAGCAGTGAACCAGCCTATGCAGATAGCTTCAATTATCCTGCCAAAAGAAACAAAGGACAGCATTTATGCTCTGTGCAAAGTCTTCAGGGGATGTTTTGTTTGTTCACAGATATTACCAAAGTGACACTTAGACTTTCACAGACAACAAACAGAAAGCCATGCCATCCTTATCCTGCACCTGGCACTGGATTTCAGCAATTAACCTGAGGATCTAGAGAGAGTTTGAACAGATAATTGCTAAGAACTCACTCACTGGTCATTTTCTTTGAGTTATGGATTGCTACTAGTCATAGTACTGGGCAAATATGCCCACAAAAACTGGAATCCTACAGGAAATGATAGGACATCAATGCCAGTGTGTAACCATATCTAGAACAGCTGGGTTTGGATTGGGTTTTTTTTGCTGCTGTTGTTGATTGAGTTTTGGGGGATTTTTTTTTTAATTTCTCTAAGTCTGTGAGGCCTGATCCACTCGGGAATGCCAAGGGTTGTAGATCAGTGAACTGTCTGGTTATGAACAGTAATGTATAGAACCAGACTGCTAAACTAAAATGGAAGTGCAGATGGAACAGGCAGATATAAGTATTTGCATTGGATGATTCATGCATATTAATTCTTTAGGAACTAACCTAAACCAGTCTATCTGATCTGCATCCCAAACAGGGGCTTACCTGCAGTCAGACCTATACAGGTATTGCCACTAAATACAGATGGTATTTTATTTTCAGTATTGCATCCATAAAGTACTAAGCTTGTATCCTTCCATTTACCACTATGCTCTGCATTACTGAATTTTCTCTTTTGCTGTAAATATAAGTCCACCTGAACTACATTGCAGCAAAAATGCAAGGTAAACAGATGTTAAGGTAATAGGCAAGATCCTCTTCTTGCCAAATGCAGAAGAAATCCCAGGAGAGGATTCAGTATATTCTTAAATATTTTCAAGTCCCACTGCATTGAATGAGATTTGAGAATATCTCAACTTGAAACCAGTGGAAGGCAGAAACAGGAGATAAAAATGTTGTTTAAATATTATTTAGTAACTGTTGTGCACGTGGTCACAAATCTCCCTAAGATTCAGACTGTGCTCACTTTTTTAATACATGAGGGCATGGAAGCTAACCTTCTCTTCATTTCTCCATTTATCTTTTTAACCAACAGTTTAAACAAAGAAAAAGCTCATCACTGATGCCTGCTGTTATCAACAGCTCTGAAACCACACTGGTGTGAGATCAGAGACTCAAAAATACTGCCAGGAAATACAACCAGAGTTTTTCGCTACTGCAAGGACTCTAACAAGGTAGTGTCTGTTGAAACATTTTGATTTGCAAGTGAAAATCCAACTGTCATTTCAAACCTAAAATTTTTCTGCCCTAACACATCTGCATAATTTCTTACCAGTTCTGAAATCTATTGTTAATAATAAGATAGTGGCCTGTTAGAAAGACAGTATTCTCTAACTGATGTAATTATAGACTCTTTAAACTAACTTTTTAATAGACATTTTGCACACTAAAATTTTGTTTATTTTTCATTAATTTTAAAAATTAATTCTCTTTAATTTTAAGCTAAAATTGGAAGAAACAGTAACAGTCACTTGGTGTAAAGTCATAAGGTACACTGTTATTTTAGCCACAGTAAATTTAAATGAACATAAATTAATTACTTAAATATTTAGTCAGATAAAATTGGACCATATTTTTCTTTTCTTTTACAAATAACAATGGAAGTTCTGAAAGCAAGTGGTCTTTCTTCATAAAGGGCTTTGACAACACTAGTTCACGTTAGCACCTTTTGATGGAAAGACTTTTGAAATTCAAAACCAGTTTGCTCTTAAGAATTAGGTGTTCTTTCAAAAATTAAGCTTTTTGAAAATTCCTTTATGTTAGAAAAAAATCAAGGAAAAAAGCTTAATGGGTAAGTTTTCTTAAATCCTTTTTTACTTATGGTGAGGAAATCCCTATGTTTTCCCCAGTATAATCAAAGAGCAAGATCATGGTAGGGACAAACAGATGATATCTGAATGCACTTATATGTTGTCTAGTTGAGATCTCATGTAACCATTAAAAGAGGATAGAAAGTTACAGCCAGGAATATTCGACAATTCCAACAGACTATTTGTTTGCATTTTATGCGATTTCTCTGGTAGTCATGTCTGTCTCCTATGACATGAGGCATTTAAATGAAAAAGAAATTTGGTATTATACAATTTAAAGCTTTTTCACTTGCTATTTCCTCCTGATGCCCTGATAATATCAGAAACATGACTCTTCCATTTTGCCACCCCTTAGACAGGTTATCTCTGTGTTGAGATTTAAGGAAGTTAGGTCCTGATTGTTGTGATACAGTAGAAATTTTCTTCATGAATCAATATCGATTCAGTGGTCATATAACTTTGGGGAATAGTTGTACAAGTAAAAGTCCATGAAATATGATCAGTCCATTGCTTTACTCTGGCAGTTCCTGGGACAAGAAATACTGTAAATCAGATATACTTCAGTAGGAAGGACTGAAGAAGTACTTTCTTGTAGAACAGATTTGAAGTGAGCTAAGGAACATCATTGGTGCAAAAATGACAAAGCGAGATCAAGGCAGTGGGGGATACATTAATGCCATTTCATTTTAGCTTGCACTTCCACTTCTCCATTTTGCATCCATCCTTCTTTCCCCTGGCTGGGGAGAAGATAATGAAGGGTGTCCCTTATTTTTTTCTTTCTTCTACTTACTTTTCAGCCATAAGTGAAACATTTTTCATTTTTCATTTTCCTCTCTTGTCACTCCGTTTTTGCCTGTGTAGATGGATTTTGGCAGTACTGGTGAATCATACAAAAATGAGTGCTTTGGTGAGAAAAACTAGAAACCTCTGGCATGTTGGGAAATCTGGAGTGCTACATTCTACATTTCCACTTTCAGATCAAGTCTCCCTCTCTTTGCAGTGACTTATCTCTATAGTTAACCTTATCAGTGGATAAATAACATCTAATAAGGAAAGCAATTTTAACAGTTAGTCCTTAAGAGAACTTAACAGAGTATGAAGTTAAAGCCACATAAAAGGCATATACTCAGAAGACCAAAGTACCTGTATTTTTCATAATCAGTTCTTAAAATATTTTCTGCATATTCACAGGACAGACTGCTTTTATTGCCTATGTCTGGAATAATGCTGTATTAAAATCTATAACTATATAATTAAATAGTGCCCTAACTATATAATGAAATAGTGCCTTTATTTGGTAAAAATGTAGTACCTACTTTATAAATTTCCATCTGGGTTTTTTGTTAGTTGGGTTTTTTCAGTTTTAAAATAGCTGGTATCCAAAAAGGAGAGGGCGAATCAAAAACAAAGCCATGAAGTATTTCCTTGAAGATTCCTCACAAATTTTACGAATAATCACAGAAAATACTAATTTTTATTCAGTTACAGTCTATTCCTGCTCCAATTTACTGTTCATTGTCCCAGACCAAAGCACACGAAAGAGTTTTTCCTCACAAAATTTTAAGCTGCTTGGTGCTTAGCAGTCTTTCAAGATTGCTCTAATGAATCTTTTGTCCATAAACAGAAAATCAAGCCTTTGTTAGCCTCATTCCTACTGTAATCCCACCACTGTTCGGTTTTCTGTTCCATATGATAACTTTCACTCAGAATAAGCTACTTTATGTACAATAAGTTAAACCATTTCAGAAATCATCTTTTTCAATCACTAACAAGTTTAGTTTGTTATTACTAAAAAAGAAAACTATGTGGTAACTGTCTTAGAATTTCAACTTAGCAATATTCTTTGCCTCAGCTTGCCAATTCATATATTTTCAATATCCCCTGGTGAGTTAGCTGAAATCAAGCCAAAATATTCCTTAGTGGCGTTATTATCTATTAAGCTTGTAAATAAAACATACACAGCAACAGGACACACGAGGAAAACAGATGATATGATTAAAGACAGTATATGACAGGATTAAAGACTGTCAGCACTGATTTGTTAAATTGTTGCTAAAGCCTATTTCCATGTAAAGCACATTAAACCGGAAAAATGTCCAAACAGTAGCTAGAATGATCAAATTCCTGCTCAGGAAGACTTCTTAGTGATTTCAGCAAATGTTTGGAGGTTTTTAATCCTTTTGAAATCAAGGGCTTCCTTCTCACTACAAACTGTGGAGTAAAGGCTACAGAACAGCCGACTTCCCTGAATTAAAAACCCTGCTGGCTTTTTTTTCCCCATTCTGCCCCTGCTTTGGCAGAAATTATATGTTGTCATGCATTAAACTCTTTGTGTGGGAGGCTGTAATGACCCATACTCCCCAGGGAAGGGGCAAATCCCTTTCACAGCTCCAAGTGGAGACCTGGATACAAACATCTTGAGCCCTGAGATCCTCAGCACCTTTACCCTCTATGTTGAACATGACTGCCACCTAACCCTGGTGAGTTTAAGGCTTGGCTGTGCCCAGGCAGTGATGTACATCTGTTCTTTGTTTCACCTCTATTTTTCAAAGAACTGGTAAATTTAATAGAAGAATCCATGCCTGTGTTTTTAACCTAGGCCCTTGGTTCCATTCTTTACCCTCAGCCCACTGTTTTAACCTAAAATCTGCAAAAATGTGATATTCAAGTTAGATCTTGTCCAGGAAAGGAGTTCTTACTCCTTTATTTTGAAGAGGTGTTAAGCATGAACATTCAGGTGTTCTGAAATTCCACTACTATAAAGAAATAATATTTTTTGTATGTCTAAAATTCACATGCAGTTTTTTAGGCTGATATTTTGCAAAGATTAAAAAAAGTCCACAGGCTCTTGATGAGAGATGCTGTTTGGAGAAACTACCGTGTTTATTTGCTTTTGCTTAAGAACACATAAATCATGTAGGCTTGATAAGTCAGTGATTATTTCAGTACAAACCTAATCATGATTATCAAGTGGAAAGGGGACAACCATCTCTTCTTCGTGCTAACAAGCTGCTTGTATTCAGCATTAGAAAAATAGTTTTAAGGCAGGTAGCTAGAACTGTGCTGCCAGTAAGTCAAGCAGCTTCAAATGATTTCCTATTACAGGCTTGAGAAGCTCTCCCTAGAAGATTATGCTCCCAATCAGTGCATGGACAGGTCCCTGAGCAGAGACTCACAGTATGCATCTGTTGGCACAGTTCAGAGGACAGCAAAGATGACTTGAAATTGCCAGAAGCAACAGAAGGCATTCCTGCTGTCTGCTCCTAAACTCTGCAAATCTAATGCAAATCTTTGGCTCCGATAAGTGGAACTTGCCAAGGCAGGGAATGGAGCAAAAATCTTAGAATGAAATAAATTTAATAGCTCATCCCTCATCCTGAGAACAGGCCTGGGAAGGGCAATCCCTCTGCAATCAGGGAATTGTATTTCAGTGTCTGTAATATCTGTCAAATTCCGAGGTGAGATTTCCCATCCCTCTCTCCTTGAATAAAGCTTACTCCTGGACTTCTCTGTTGCCTTCTAAAGCATGTTATCCCAAAGGATCAGAAATAGCCATGGGCTGTTCATCCTTTGAGAGCATGGTCACCCTGAAAAGGCATAACATCATAGTGGTTTGTGAAAAAAAGTTTGGTGGATTTAATTCTTCTTCTGCTGAAAGGGTGTTCATACGTGGAAAATTAATACATCTGGTGTTAGCCGGCAGCCCCAGCAGCCCTCACTGCAAACCTCATTTTTTGTAGATGCCAGAATTCATGATCCCCTCACTTGCTGAGATGATGTCCAGGTAAGCTGAAGGCACACTGCTGGTCAGCTGCTTTCAGTACAGCTGTCCAAAGCAGTTCTGGGAATGGTTACCACGGGAGCCAGCCACAGAAATTGTCCATGTGGCACCTTTCTGACATAACACACTGAGGCAAGGGCAGGAGGGCTTATTGTGAGATAGTGAAAATATCAGAGTTGCTGGGTTTCCTCACCTCCGTGGCTTATGCTGAGCTGAATAACCGACTACATCCAAATCTACAGATCAGGCATTTCTAGATTAGCCCATTCAATTTTCACTCCTAAAACTTCTCAAAATACATTTTTTGAATAACGTGCAATTTTTGTACTAGTAATTACAGTGCCATGCAAATCAAAATTCACTTCTGTACAGCAATAAGATAACAATCTCTCTTGGGGAAAAAAAAAATTGTATTACTATGTTAGATAGAATTTCTTTATTTTGATGAGGAACACTGCTTAATAAACAAATGACAGAATTTGGTTTCAAACTTTTAAATGTGTCAGAAAGAAGTGGATGGATTTTTAAAAACCTTCTCACCTAAGAGGGATTGTATTGCCAGAGTATGCAATCCCAAAAACTTCCATAGGATTTCTGTGGTCAGGTTTTCAAATAAAATCATTTAGCTACTTAAATTTTACTAACCCAACTATTTTTAAATGAAATAACTACAAAGTAATCATAAACACATAAGGGCAAATAAAGTCAGATGACAACTGGGCATGTTAGGTCCAATGCTATGGCACATGTCAGTAGTGACAACTAAACTGGACAGCTCACTTAAAAGCAGCTGTAGCCAACACACTCTTTTCCAGCTATAACAGACTTTTTAGAAATGAAGCAGCATGTGCAAAAGAGAGGAGTGGCTCCACCTTGGTGGTCACCTGTGGACAGAGGGGCACACATTTGTGTCTGTTTTCCATGTGTTTGCCATCAGACTGGGATAGGTTCCTGTGCAGTCAGTACATGGTTTAGATGACCCAGCATGTACTGGTGTTTATACTTTTCTGACATTGGTAGAAACTTTTCAGCTGGTAGAAACTTTTCTATTTTTTTGTTGCAATAACATGGAGTACTACAGCTAGTACAGAAGAAAATCGCCCCATCGTTGGTAGTTGTCCTGCTTCTAAAAGGAGCCTTCACTGCCCTGGGAACTGTTTGTCTACACTGCACCTACAAGTACTTAGGACCTCATCCTTCTAACACCTGGTGTACAAGATGCAATTGTTCAGAAGAGTAAAATCAGAATCTTGAAGACAAAGGCACTATGAAAGAAAAATTACACATCCTATGCCATGTTCCTCTCCAAGCTGAACTCTTTCTTGCAAGAGAAAACTTGGGGTTGATTCCCACACCATGAAGACATGAACAAAGACATGACCTATGTGGTTAATGCTGTTGTAGTGTTGCATCTATTTTCCCATGCCTCATGGGAGTATCTCAGCAATTTGCTGCTGTGCAGAGGTCACCCACAGCAGCTCCTCTTTGAAATAACCTTGCTAAGCTTTTAACTGGAAGAGCCTTTAGGATCCCCTTTTGACATATCTGAATCTAAGCAGGAATCAACAGCTTCTCATGCTGCATCTGCTTTCTTTTTGTTCATACAATTAATTCTTTGGCTCAACTACAATGAGAAATACAGGTGCAGTTTTCCATTAAGCTAATGGAAACTACGAAAATACTTTCCAAGGAATTAATCTGGCTACTAAGATATAATATATCACATTCCAATTAACTCTATGGTAAAAGATGATGATTTCATAATGACAAGGCTGCAATTTCATGGTGGTGCCCTTTTAGAAGAGCAGAAGCTGAAAACTTTTTGTTGAATATCCTGTCTGTTTTTTAAAAAGGGAGAAGCTAGCAAATACCAGAAATGTTTACTTCTTTCTTTATATGTCAGTCTTATTTATGGGAGAAATTCTACCAGACTGGTCTCAATTTTGTTCTCTAGGGAACAGGGAAGGAGAGAGAGGGAACAGAAGAGTGCAAGAGTTGCATCAATGTAACTCTAATCTGAGGTCACAAGAAGATGGAAAAGGGTTTGCTCTTACTAGTAAGGCTCAGGATTGAGCCTTATACCCCATGCCCTGTTCTCTGCAACTGTTTTGCAGTGTTTATTATGCTTAAAGGAAATGTAAACATCTGTTATATTTATACACTGGGGTGCTTGAATGATGCCTTTGCAAGAGCTTGATGTACAGTTTGATCATCTCCTGTGTTCCCCACACAGAGAATCTGAGATGTAAAGGGAGGAGCGGGAGTAAGGCTGTTCCCACATCCAGGATTTTACCGGAGCACAATCGTAACAGGCGCTGCATCTGCTCTAGCAGAAGGATCTGTACGAATACATGCAGAGTACTTTCAGGATTTGTCATTTCCCAAAGGAAAAGACAAGGGAATTGCATTCTTTTGGGGGATTATTTTCCTTTTTTTTAAATTTTCTGTTCACAATCGTAAGGCATAAATTGATTTCTGGAGTGTCTGAAGTTCTCTGTGTGGTCCCGTGTCTCCTCAGAGGGGTCAATAAGAGCTCCAAGAGCCTTCACGGAGGGAGGCACCCTCCCTGCGAACAGGAGCCGTACTCCGATGTCCCCTGCGCTCCAGGCTGCCCAGACCCGAGCCTGGCCCCGGCCCCCGCCCGTCCCCTGCGCTCGGGGCCGCGGTGCCCGGCAGAGCCCGGGGGAGCCGAGCTGCGGAGCAGCGCCACTGCCCCGACAGACACCCCGACATCCCCCCGCGCCCCAGCTCAGGGCCGGGCTGTCCAGGCGCGCAGACCGTCTCCGCCGGTGGAGGCTACAGCCACGGACAGTCAAGACAAGGGGCAGGAAGGACACACTGGACGGGACACACGGGGACCGGACAGCGGCAAAATAAAGGATCCTCCTACCCTGAGGGCTCCCTCACTGACTCTGCTGTGTACCTGCTCTGCTCCTCCACGCTGCGATTCTCCGGCGCCCGCCACTCGGGCAGGGTGCTGGCGCACAGCACCACCATGGACACAATGACGAAGAGGATGGAGACGGTGGCCAGGACCTGGGCGGCCACGGAAGACGTGGGCTCCTCAAAAGTCCTCCTCATCCTCTCGAGCCACTTCCTGCCCTCGGCTCCGGGCGGCCGCCGGCCCTTGCCCTCGGGGCCGCCATTCGGCTCCTCCGCCGCGTAGTAGGTGAACGTCTCGGACATGCGGTCGTCGAGGCGGCGCTGGCAGCAGTAGTCGAGGTGGGAGCCCTCCAGCCCCCAGTAGATCATCTCGTTGTAGAAGGAGAGCTCGCACATGTGCGGCACGAAGCGCAGGTGGCCGTGCCGGACGTACAGCATGATGAAGCCGAAGGCCTCCGAGTGCCTGTCGAAGAAGTACTCGTTCCGCTCCCGGTCGTAGTCGTCGCACACCTCCAGAACGTCCTGCTCCGAGAGGCAGCCGTGCAGGCGGCTCACCCGGCGCAGCGGGAAATCCTTCAGCACCTCCCGGGAGAAGGAGTACCGGGTGCCCCCGACGTTCAACACCACCGAGGGACCGCGGCCAAAGTTCATGGCTTGGGCGGCAGGGAGGAGGGGAACGGCGGGCAGGGCAGGGCAGGGCGGCGAGGCGGGGGGCAGCGCGGGCGGCAGCGGCTGCCCCGGCTCCGGCTCTGCGCGCACCGCTGGCGGCTCCCGCTCGGCGACGGGGCGGGCAGCGGGCGGGGAGGGAGGCAGGGGGGGAGGGACAGCGGAGAGACGCGGGCGCCCCGGCGGCCGCGCAGGAGCGCAGGGGGCGATGCCGCTCGCAGGTGCGGGCGCGGCTCAGCGCCGGCGGGCGGGCGCCTCCGCGGGGCCCCGCCGGGGCGGGAGCGGGGCCGCGGCCGCGGCCGCGGGCATGGCGGGGCCGGGGAGCTCCGCGCCCGGCGCCGCTCCGCTGCGCTCCGCCGGTGCCGGCGGGCGGGCGAGGGGCGGTGCGGCGACGGCGGGGTGGGGACACGCCTCCTCCCCGCCCGCGCACACGGAGCGGAGCGGGACTCCCGCTGCCCGCCGCCCTCCGGGCACCCCTCCCGGCACAGGTCTGGGCAGCGCCGGGGCCCGCCGGTCCCGCTGTCCGCCCCGCCAAGCGGCGCTGGCTCCAAGTTGTCCACTAAACGCAAGTAACACTTTGTGGGCGTTTTCCCCCGCTCAAGGAAAGCTCGAAGTGAAGTGTGTGAGCAGGATGGAGTTCGCTCCTTGTTCGCGGCAGCCGACGGCCAGCGTCTGTCTCTCCCAGCTCGTTTGTTTGCCCGCCGGGGTGCCGGGCGGTCCCGGTGCCCGGCAAGGGCAGGGCGGCGGCGGGCAGCGCTGGCCGCAGCGCCCCGGGCTCCCCTTCTTGTCACAGCCCATCCGCCCCGGCACATCCATACAGGGACACTCTTCTCTTTTTCCTCCTCAGATAGTGCATGGACCCCAGGGAGAGTCAGGTGCAATAGGCAATCTTCTTCCCTGCTTCTGCCCATGCTGGTCTCAGGTCTCTGCTCCCGCAGCTTCCTGTGTTCCTGTGTCCTGCACCTCTTCTCAAGATTAAAGCAATTATTAGCTGCTCCGACCCTGTCTGCACTCTAAAGCTTCGATTTCATTTGGCTGCATCCAGTACAGGGAGTTAATTTCCGCTATTGACGGGTTTTGAAATTCATTTTTTTTATTTCAATATGACAGTTCTCCAAAGTGAGGTATTTTCTAGGCTCATTAACATCTGGAATATCTTGGGCTAAAAGCAGGCGAGACACAGCTCTCACTTTCAATGAGATGCTTCCAAGTTATCAGGAGAAAAAGTAGGGAAGTATGTCTTTTCCAAACCAATGCCAAAGATTAGTCACTCAGGGTTTTGTCTTTAAAAGGGCATCCAGGTTAAACCAGTGTTTTCCTATCCCCGTTCTTAGTCGCTCTAGACGTATGCACTTCATGGGTTGTTCTTGCTGCCAGTTACTTTATCAGCTGAGATTTCTAAGGCACATTTAGGCGTATCAAAATAAATGAATAGTCGTCTAATTGTGTAGTAAAAATTGAGGGTTTTTTTTAAAAATGAAAATGGTATTAAGCGCTACTATTTTTAAGTCTATTTGTCATCTTCTAAAACATACTTCTGGAGAGACTGTAGTGAATGTCCCCGTTCCCAGCGGGAGAATCCCGCGGTCTCTGGCTGTCCTGCAGTGCCACCACGAGAGGGCGCGGTTAGTCGCTGTTCCCCGTTTGTTTCCCGGTTTTCCCGAGAAACCCACCCGAACTCCGAAATGCTGTCAAGTACGCGCACCAGCGTGTTCTGGCACCGTACGGTCTTTTATGATGTCTGCTTAGTCACGCTGATGTCTGTTTTCATATGGCTGGAAAGGTTTTTCCTTCCAGCAGCTGCGTGCATAGAACCATCAAATAATTTCCCTTGGAAAAGACCTTTAAGACATCGAGTCCAACCATTAACCCCACGCTGCCGAGTCCACCACTAAACCATGTCCCGAAGCACCACATCTACACGTACTTTAAATGCCTCCAGGGATGTGACTCAGCCACTTCCCTGGTACAGTTATAGTGTATTTTGCTATTTGTTAATTTTATTAACAGCAAACACTAAACTTCTTCTCCCTTCTTTGATGTATACCCTCTGTATTTCATTCTTTCAGGAGCAATCACTAGAAAATCTGCTTAAAAAATTAAATAGCAAAACCTGACTAGAAGTCTGACAGTGCTAATGAGTTACCCAGGTGCTTTTGACTTTGCAATTTGTCAGCTTCCTGCTCCATATGTTCTAACCGTCCCTCACAGGGAGCTTGCAGAGGAAGAGAGCAGAGTACAAATAGCACAGCTTGAAGACACATATTTACTAATTCTGTTGAAATATTGTGAGTATATGTTCTAGAAATTATTTCAAGAGGGACAAAGATTTGTGTGTTGTGTTAAGAAGCTGTCTGGCAGAACAGGTAAAATGCTGGCCTGACAAGATTTTAAATTGCATTGCTTGATGAGGCATTGTGAGTTGATTAATGCCTATTCCTATTTCTGGGTTTTAGTTTATTTTAAATATAGAATATAATTATTTCCTCCTTCAGAATTATGCCATCAAATATTTAATATAAGCAAAGCTAACCTGGAAACAGTAATATTTTCTTTTCCTCTGTAGTTTGGCATGTTCACTAGTTATTGTAGTTATAACTGCTGTCTTCCAATTGAGGAGATTTGTTCTAGTGGGCTGGTGCCAACAACTGTAAAGTACATGTTCTCAGAGCAGGAGCAGCAATTTATCAGGAACAAAACCTCAGATTTTAGGCAGAATTTGCAAGTTTTGAGTAAAAAAAAAATTGGGTTCCTATTTCTTAACTTTGAGATTGGTTAGTCCTTTGGGGCTGTGAAATAGCAGATTTGTTGTTGTACTAGAACTGGCTAATTTTTGAGGAGACTTCGCTGAGTGTAAATTATTTTTTTTTTTTGTGATGTTTAATTTTGCAACTTAATGTCTCAAGAAATTTGAAGAAATAGGATGGAGACCCAAAATACTGGAGACTTTGTGTGACCATAAGCAAAACATTTAGTAATATATTAAGAGAAAGATATTTTTAAAGGCAATTCTGGTAACAAAAAAGTGTGTTTGAAAGTTCCATCTGATTTGAAAAATGGTACATAATTGGTGAAGAAAATCTCAGGTGAGCAAATAAATTAATTGAGGTCAGCATAGAAATTAGTAAAGAGTATTCACCCTATATGTTAAAGAAGTATGAGGCATAGAGGCAAAGTTTAGGAGGACTTAGCAGGCTAATGATCTAAAATATAATTAAGACCTCTTTGAAGTACTTGTGTTCAGGTGATTGTAGTGTTGGTTTGTTTTTGGTTTGGTTTGAATTTTTAGGTTCTGGATATACTGCTGGGATGCTGAATCAAAGCAATTAAGTTTTTCCTGGTGTTATAGTTGTTATCCTTTGCTGCCCAGGAGGAACTTCACAATTAATAGTAATTATGTAAAACTAGCTTTCTTTGTGTCAACATTTATTTTCATGGCTTGCACTGTGCTATTGCATCCTAGGGGTATTTAATGAACTTGAAATATTTTCTACAGATTCTAAATCCTTCTGGCTCCATGCTGAGACCATTGCTCTGTGTTCTGAGTGCAGATCTAAGCTTGCTTTTAGAGAAGAGAATCTTTACTTGTATTTTTTATGTGAACAAAGTGGTGTATTTTGATGGTAGGCATTTTTCATAACTTGGGATGAGATTCTGTTCCTACTGAGGTAGCTACTGAATGCTGTTGACTTCAATGCAAGCAAAATTGGCTTTTAGTGGGCTGTCTTGTCAGGAATCTTGATTATTTTTATGACTACAACATGTAGCAACTCTAGTTGTGGAGCAGGTTGCCATGATGATAGACTTGTAAACACAGAACAAAAAATCTTCCTGGCTAGGGAGTATATAGTATATATCATGTAAAATTGTGGGGAGAAAACCCCAATTTTTTTGGTAATAAGCATATTGCCACATTTAGCCATCTCTCTCTTAGTTATTTGGAAAGGCAATATATAAAGAACAGAACAAGTGCTTTAAAAGGTTCTGCATGCACAGATGGACTATGGTTTGCATTTATCTTTCATTTAGGGCTTGGGAAAAAATGGTTTCAAATAGATATTTTTTTGGAATTTTTTTTTTTTTTAAATCTTACTTCTCTGCACCAAAGCCCCTCCACTTCAGTCTGGTTTGTGTGCTCTGCAGAAAACCTTACTGCCACATGTAATTACCAAACAAACCATCTAATGACAGATGCAGGATTGTCAGTGGCACCTGACATAAGAGTACAAGTTCCCTTGTCACTGAGGCACTTATAAAAATCTGAATAATTTTGAATATAAGTGTTTCTAAAAATGGATGAATGACATTTAGTAGGGAACTGGGTATTCACATATATATACATGTGCTCAGAATACAATCTGGAATTGACATTTATAATGAGACTAACTTTGTGAAACGTGATAACTGTTTGGGCAATTTGGCTATGAACAATTAGATTTGATCCCGGAGACTTGATGTATTTGTGGGTCAGACTGTGAAATGTTTTAACGTGAGAGACAGCTGCCTTCTTTGCTTTCCTTCACCTCCACATTGAGAAACTCCCAGCAAAACTTCTTGTCCCTGATCCTGGGCTAATTATGAAGACTATTACATTTTCTGAGATCATTGAATCAAACGAAGCCCTTTTGGGCAGAGATGGTTACTAACTGGGAGAATAAACCAGTTTGTTACATCTGAACTTCAGGCAGGCAGATACAAAGACCAGAGAGGACATTTCTCGCCTGAGGAAGGTGATTAGAGGGAGACTTGCTAATGGATAATTCAAAGGCATGAACATATCCTCACAGGAGAGTACAACATGGGAATGTGTTTTCACACCAGAGAGATTCTTTTCTAAATTCCTACCAAGGAGAAGGGAAACAGCCTGAAGAGAAGATGGATAGAAATAACAGGATTTGGAGAAGCCGTGCGTGTGGGTGAATCCTAACTGTGCTCCCAGAATAGGAAGAATAGGTCCAGCTAAGTGTATGCAAGCATTATTTTGTCAAAATCTTACCCCCCTTTTTTTTTTTGCACTAGCTAGCTTA